GCTGTTAATTACAGACGATTGTTGTTAATTGAGAACAATGACTTTTACATTTGCCTTAGAAAGTATCTATCAAATACTTGAGTTGCCATGAATTTGTCTACAAAAAATGTAAAGCCTGTTGTTTTTGTAAGTGCTCTTAACATTGTTTTCCTCTGGTCCTTGAGGATTAGCAAAAGGATATGTTCATTTTCTACTAAACATCACATGATTTCCCAGTAGAATTTTAGCCACCATTCATCTCAGTTGGAATTTTCCCTGAATATTATAGCTATAGTTTTCTTAAACAGTAAAGTGAACGAAAAGAGGGCTCAGGCTTATAGGAGAGATAAACACTGAGAATTTTCACAATATTATGATGCAACCTAGACAGTGTATTAAAAAAACAGAGACATTGCTTAGCCGACAAAGGTCAATCTAGTCAAAGTTATGGTCTTTCCAGTAGTCATGTCTGGATATAAGAGTTGAACAGTAAAGAAAGCTGAGCACTGAAGAATTAATGCTTTTGAACTGTGGTATTAGAAAAGACTCTTGAGAGTCCCTTGGACTTCAAGGAAATCAAAACAATCAATTGCAAAGGAAATCAGTCCTGAATATTAATTGGAAATATTGATGCTGAAACTGAAGATCCAATACTTTGGACACCTGATGCAAAGAACTGACAAATTGGAAAAGAACCTGATGCTGGGAAAGATTGAAGGCAGGAGGAGAAGGGGACAACAAAGGATGATATGGTTGTGTTAAGTAGTTAGAATATGGAAAAGGAGTCCAGAATGGCAGTGGCTAAAAGACCTGGAAGGGAAAAGCCCATGAAAATAGAACAAAGAAAGGTTCAAGGACCAGAGTGAGGACTTCAGGTAAAACAAACAGCACTCCTGGCTGGCCCAATTTACATAGGAGAGGCCCAGGGAGAGAGAAACATATAAAAAGAGGAGCCAAAGCTAGCTCTTTCTCTGAATCTTAACAAATTTACCTCTTACCTATCGCTTTGTCTCTCACTGAATTTTTGCAATGAGACATGAGAGCCTAAGCTTCATTAGGTCCTGAAGCCAGGCATCCTGGGTTTTGGTTGGGCTCGAGTCCTGGGAGAGAAAGCTGAAGGGCAGGAAGAAAAACCAGTGGGAAAAACGTGACAAGCGATCCCCTTCATAGCCTGCTGGAAAATCTGTTAAATTTGTGACCTGTGCTCACAGTTTTCATTGGTCTGATTCTTGGCACAGAGAAGAGTAAGGACAGAAGAACCCCCATCGGCTTGTGTAACAGCTATGGGGCTCAGCAGGTAGCGCCTTTGGGACATGAGGAGTAGCCTCTCCAGACTCCCTCAGTTGTGCCCACTGCCACTCGCCTGTTGGTGGGAGTTCAAGGAAACAAGAAATGAGAGATTGTAAAGGAGTTAAGATTTCGTTAGACATATGTCCCTCCAGCCATAAGAGCAAGGATCTCCTACCTTAACTGGAGGTCTTCTGGAATCTGAGACTGAGCCGCGTGGGCTTTCTGCTGAGTGTGTTTTTCGCTGTCCTGGTTTCAAGCAGGATGGGCCTCTTGTCACTTCCCTTGTGCTGGGTTGTCTTTGCGTTCCGCTTCTACCACGGGAGCTTCGCTGAGTTGGGCTCCTTCTGTGCTTGACCTCCTCCTCAGGGGGCCATGCCAAGGTTGTTACAGCCAGGTTAAACCGGGGTCACGGCACCATAGATGTCAGGCGAGTGTATGCTCCCCGGCTCTTGTCTCATCACACCAAAGATTTGGAGTGACGGACATTAAAGCCCCCTCGGCTCACAGCTCTCTGGTCTTGGACAGACCATGTTATAGCTCTCAGGTCTCAAATGGACCATGTTATAGCTCTTAGACAAATCAGTGTTACAGCTCAATTTTATTTAGAAGATAGCAGGAAAATCCATCTCCAAGGTGTGAGGGCATGTAGATCCAAAGACATGAAGAGAAGAGCTCCCCAGCGTGGGAGAGAGAGAGAGAGAGTGCTAGCTTTGGGACCTGTTTTATATGTTTCTCTCTCCCTGGATCTGTCCTATGTAAATTGGCCCAGCCAGGAGTGCTGTTTGTTTTACCTGAGGTCCTCACTCCAGTCCTTGGACCTTCCTTTATTTTATTTTTTGCAGGCTTTTCCCTTCCAGGTCTTTTAGCCACCGCCATTCTGGACCCCTTTCCCCTATTCTAACTAGCTAACAGTTGGATGGCATCACTGACTCAATGGATATGGTTTTGGGTGGACTCTTGGAGTTGGTGATGGACAGGAAAGCCGGGAGTGCTGCAGTCCATGGGGTCGCAAAGAGTAGGACAAGACTGAGAGACGGAACTGGGTAACGACGCAATACATACTAAAAAGGGCTTCTCTCGTGGCTCAAATGATAAAGAATCTGCCAGCAATGCAGAAGACCCTAGTTCGATCCCTTAGTCAGGAAAATCCCCTGGAGAAGGGAATGGCTACCCACTCCAGTATTTTGTCCAGAGAATCCTCTGAATATAAGAGCCTGATCTATGGGATATAATCCATAGGTTTGCAAAGAGCTGGACAACTGTGCAACTAAGCATGCACATACAACAAATCAATAAACCTATATCTTGAAATTAAATATTCTATTGCAGAAAGATCTCTCCTGATACTGGAATGAACTTTACCATTCAATTTGAATTCACAGCACGAGTGATATTGATAAGAACTGGATCAATTTATTGAGGGAATTCTTCATTGTTTTTTTTTTTTTTTAAAGTAAATGGATTGTTATTATTATTATTATTATTGCTAAACAGAAAGACAAAATAGAAGGCTTTCATTGCTATTTAATGAATTATACCAATATACTGACAGAATAGAGCTTTAACTAACTGAACATGAATGTATAAAAAAGGAAAATATAAAAATACAAGGTAGAATAGAAAGTAGAATACACACACACATACAGAGTATAATAATGACATTTAGATGGGAGAAATTTTAAAGAAAAAATGTTCTCTGAAAGATATTGCTTTATGTTTGGTATTAGATATTCATACAATTTAGTCTCTTTAGCCCATGACACAGATCCAGCCTATGAAAATCCCACTCTGCCTCCTCTGTACTCTGGACTCTACAGAATTTCCCTAACTTTTTAGGACCAGGGATCAATTTAGTAGATGACAATTTTTCCATGGACCTGGGTGGGGGGTAGTTACAGTATGGCTCAAGCTCATTATGTGTATTTTTGCACTTTATTTCTATTATTATTGCATCCTTGTCATATCAGATCATCAGACATTAGATTGCACAGTTCAGAAGCCCCTGCTCCAATACTTGAGGTCACAACAATGAGTCCATTAGATGTGATTCAGATAAGGAGTTGGAAGTTAAGAAGGTGAATATGAGTCAGAGTGAGAACTTAGAAGTCTTTTGTATTGTTGAAGATTTAACTCCAGTGACGTTCATTTGGGAGACAGTCCCATTCAAGTGATCTTTTTCCTGACATTTTTGGATTTTCTATATTAACTAGCAAATACTAATACAAGAAATGAGGTAAAAGATTAGGATATAGCACAATTTTACTGAGTTTGAAGAAAAGAAGAGGAGCTTCCCAATGGGAAAGAGATTATTTAGGGAAAGATGTAATAAAGTCAACAAGTAGCATTTCTATTCCAGTATTTCGAACACTCAGAAAAGCCTAGGTTAAAATTCCTACTCCTCTTATTTAGAGTATGTGATTTGGATAAAATTAAAAATATATATTTTTAACCTCATACCAATCAATAAAATAAGGATTTCAAAAGAAATATTCTATGATAAATACACACACTACTGCTGCTGCTGCTGCTGCTGCTGCTGCTGCTAAGTCGCTTCAGTCATGTCCGACTCTGTGTGACCCCATAGATGGCAGCCCACCAAGCTCCCCCGTCCCGGGGATTCTCCAGGCAAGAACACTGGAGTAGGTTGCCATTTCCTTCTCCAATGCATAAAAGTGAAAGTGAAGTCGCTCAGTCATGTCCTACTCTTCTTGACTCCATGGACTGTAGCCTACCAGGCTCCTCCATCAATGGGATTTTCCAGGCAAGAGTACTGGAGTGGGTTGCCATTTCCTTCTACCCAAATACACACTAGCATATGGTAAAAAACAAACAAAAAAAGTCTTAAAAATAAGTTATCCCAAGTTAAATTAATATGGCATAGCCCTTCCAGAAATAAATTCCAGTTCTATCCATGGATATTTCCTTTTTCTTTGAGCTTCTTTGTGTTTTTCTCTGAAGGTTATTGAAAAGAACAAGATAGTGAGAAACTACACAGAAATAAGAAAGTTTATCCTCCTGGGACTGTCAGATGACCCACAAGTTCAGGTTATGATCGTTGTCTTTCTGCTCATCACCTACATGCTCAGCATCACTGGGAACCTGACTATTATCATCCTGACCCTGCTGGATGCCCATCTCCAGATCCCCATGTATTTCTTCTTCAGGAGTTTCTCTATATTAGAGGTTTCATTCACAACTGTCACTATACCAAAGTTCCTGGCCACCATCATCACAGGAGATAAAACCATCTCTTTTAATGATTGTGTGGTTCAGTTATTTTTTTTCAATCTCTTGGGAGTCACTGAGTTTTACCTTCTGGCTGCCATGTCCTATGACTGTTACATTGCTATCTGCAAACTGCTGCATTACATGATCATCATGAATCAGAGTCTGTGCCCTGCTGGTTTTGGCTTCTTGACTGGCTTAGTTCTTAATTATATTCCCATTACTCATGCTGTTCATACAGCTTGATTAGTGTAAGTCCAATGCTATCAATCATTTTATTGTGATTATTTTCCCTTATTACACCTTTCGTGTTCAAATAACAAATTACCAGAGGTGATGGGCTTTTCCTCTGCTGTGTTTACCTTAATGTTCACTTTGACATTAATAATTCTGTCCTATACATATATAATCAGAACAATTTTGAGGATCCCTTCTACCACTCAGAGGACAAAGGCCTTTTCCATGTCTTCTTCCCACTTGATTTTCATCTCCATCTCTTATGGCAGCTGCATTTTCATGTATATGAATCCATCAGCAAAGGACAGGGTGTCTTTGAGCAAGGGGGTGGCTGTGCTAAACACCTCAGTAGCCCCCATGCTGAACCCCTTTATTTATACCCTAAGGAATCTACAATTCAAGCGAGCCTTCATGGACATGGCCAGGAAGACTCTACTTTTCTCAAGGAAATGAAAAAATAAAAGTCCTGCTTTATAAATTAGAGGCATAACAAAGAGCAATCAAATAAAAATCAGGGCTTTTCAACATGCATTACTTTTCACATAATTTCCCTGGAAGTGTTTTTCACTGCTCATACTTATAGTGCCAGCATCTTACTAGAGATAGTGTATACACTATTCCCATTCTAATTCTCATCATTTGCTCATGTGTTTCCCTCCCTTCGGGCTCTTCATTCTGCTCTTTAACCTTGGACTGACTTAATTTCCCTTTTTGAAATGTTTTTTAATTCCATGTTTTCACAATATTTCTTAGAAAATTAAGGGCAGACAGAAAGAGGCAGAGCAGCAGACATGAGAGAGACCTGTGTTTTGATTTCACCAGGAAACATTCTTTCTAGAAATTTAGGAAATGTTAAATTAATTTAAGCACTGTTTTTTCATTTTTTTTTTTAATTGGAGGATAATTGTTTGGCAATTTGTCTTGGTTTCTGCCATACATTAACATGGCTCAGTCTTAAGTATCCATATGCCTCCTCCTTCTTGACTTCACTCCCACCTCCTGCCCCAGCCCACCCCTCTACATTGTCACAGAGCCCTGGGTTAAGTTCCCTGTGTTATACAGCAACCTCTCCTTGGCTACCTATTTTACATACGTAATGGATAAGTTTCAAAGCTATTTTCTCAATTTATCCCAACTTCTTCCAACCCATACTGCCACCATGCTCACAAGTCTGTTCTCTATGTCTGTGTCTCTATTGCTGCCCTGGAAATAGGTTCATCATTACCATTTTTCTAGATTCTATATTGAACATCGACATTTTAGCATCAGCAAACTAAAATGGATGGGAATGGGTGAATTTAACTCAGATGACCATTGTATCTGCTACTGTGCACAAGAATCCCTTAAAAGAAATGAAGTAGCCCTCATAGTCAACAAAAGGGTCCAAAATGCAGTACTTGGATACAATCTCAAAAATGACAGAATTATCTCTGTTCATTTCCAAGGCAAGCCATTCAATATCAGAATAACTAAAGTCTATGCCGCAACTAGTAATGCTGAAAAAGCTGAAGTTGAACAGTTCTATAACCTCTAGAACTAACATCCAAAAAAGATGTCCTTTTCATCATAGGAGACTGGAATGGAAAAGTGGGAAGTCACAAAATACTTGGGGTAATAGGGAAACTTGGCCTTAGAGTACAGAATGGTGCAGAGCAAAGGCTAATAGAGTGTTGCAAAGAGAACACACTGGTCATAGCAAACACCCTATTCCAAAAACACAAGAAAAGACTCTACACATAGACATAAGCAGATGGTCAATACCGAAATCAGATTGATTATATTCTATGCAGCCAAAAATGGAGAAGTTCTATACAGTCAGAGAAAAGTAGAGACACAAACTCAAAGGAAAAAAAGGAAAGATATACCGATTTGAATGCAGAGTTCAAAAGAATAGTAAAGAGCGATAAGAAAGCCTCCCTCAGTGATCAGTGCAAAGAAGTACAGGAAAACACTAGAATGGGAAAGACTTGAAATCTTTTCAAGAAAATTAGACATACCAAGGGAACATTTCTTGCAAAGATGGGGACAATAAAGTACATAAATGGTATGAATCTAACAGAAGAAGAAGATATTAAGAAGAGGTGGCAAGAATACACAAAAGAACTGTACAAAAAAGATCTTCATGACCCAGATAATCACAACGGTGTGATCACTCACCTAGAGCTATACATCCTGGAATGTGAAATCAAGTGGGCCTTAGAAAGCATCACTATTAACAAAGCTAATGGAGGTGATAGAATTCCAGTTCAGCTCTTTCAAATCCTGAAAGATGATGCTGTGAAAGTGCTGCACTCAATATGCCAGCAAATTTAGAAAACTCAGCAGTGACCACAGGACTGGAAAAGGTCAGTTTTCATTCCAATATCAAAGAAAGGCAATGTCAAAGAATGCTCAAACTACCGAACAGTTGTACTCATGTCACATGCTAGCAAAGTAATGCTCAAAATCCTCCTAGCCAAGCTTCAACAGTACATGAACCATGAATTTCAGATGTTCAAGGTGGATTTAGAGAAGGCAGAGGAACCAGAGATCAAATTGCCAACATCTATAGGATTATCGAAAAAGCAAGAGTCCCAGAAAAACATCTACTTCTGCTTTATTGACTATGGTAAAGCCTTTGACTGTGTAGATCACAACAAACTGTGGAAAATTCTTAAAGAAATGGGAATACCAGACCACCTGACCTGCCTCTTGAGAAATTTGTATGTAGATCAGGAAGCAACAGTTATCACCAGACATGGAACAGCAGACTGGTTCCAAATAGGGAAAGGAGTACGTCAAGGATGTATATTGTCACTCTGCTTATTTAACTTATATACAAAGTACATCATGAGAAATGCTGGGCTGGATGAAGCACAAGCTGGAATCAAGATTGCCAGGAGATATATCAATAACCTCAGATACGCAGATGACACCACCGTCATGGCAGAAAGCAAAGAGGAACTGAAGAGCCTCTTGATGAAAATGAAAGAGGAGAGTGAAAAAGTTGGCTTAAAACTCAACATTCAGAAAACTAAGATCATCGTATCCGGTCCCATCACTTCATGGCACATAGATGGGGAAACAATGGAAACAGTGATGGATTTCATTTTGGGGGGCTCCAAAATCACTGCAGATGGTGACTGCAACCATGAAATTAAAAGACGCTTACTCCTTGGAAGGAAAGTTATGACCAACCAAGATAACATATTAAAAAGCAGAGACATTACTTTGCCAACAAATGTTAATTTAGTCAAAGCTACAGTTTTTCCAGTAGTCAAGTATGGATGGGAGAGTTGAAGTATAAAGAAAGCTGAGTGCCAAAAAATTGATGCCTTTGAACTGTGGTGTTGGAGAAGACTCTTGAGAGTCTCATGGACTACAAGAAGATCCAACCAGTCCATCCGAAAGGAAATCAATCCTGAATATTCATTGGAAGGACTGATGCTGAAGCTGAAACTCCAATACTCTGGCCATCTGATATGAAGAACTGACTCATATGAAAAGACCTTTATGTTGGGAAAGATTGAAGGCAGGAGGAGAAGCAGATGACTGAGAATGGGATGTTTGGATGGCATTACTGACTCAATGTCCATTGAGTTGGTGATGGGCAGGGAGGCCTGGCATGGTGCAGACCATGGGGTCCCAAAGTGTTAGACATGACTGAGTGTTTGAACTGAACTGATGTGTATGCATTAATATACAACATTTGTTCTCTTTCTGGGAGAAGGCAATGGCACCCCGCTCCAGTACTCTTGCCTGGAATATCCCATGGACAGAGGAGCCTGGTAGGCTGCAGTCCATGAGGTCACTAAGATTCGGATACGACTTCACTTTCACTTTTCACTTTCATGCGCTGGAGAAGGACATGGCAACCCACTCCAGTATTCTTGCCTGGAGAATTCCAGGGACGGGGGAGCCTGGTGGGCTCCCATCTATGGGGTCGCACAGAGTCGGACACGGCTGAAGTGACTTAGCAGCAGCAGCAGTTCTCTTTCTAACTTACTTCACTCTGTATAGCAGGCTCTAGATTCATGCACCTCACTACAACTGACTCGAATTTGTTCCTTTATGTGGGTGCTTGGTTTATGAATCAGTTTATAACCCAGCATATGGTTGTGCATGTGTGCTCAGTAGGGGCCAACTCTTTGTGACCCTATGGCAACCATCTCTGTGCATGTGCTTAATACAACTTGTTTATCCATTCATCTGTCAATGGACATCAAGGTTGCTTCCATGTCCTGGCTATTGTGAATTTTGCTGCAATGAACATTAGGGTACATGTGTCTTTTAGAACTGTGATTTTGATACATTGATTCTTCCAATCCAAGAATTGCTATATCTCTCTGTGTGTTTATGTCATCTTTGATTTCTTTCACCAGTGTCTTATTGTTTTCTGTATTGTTTCCTCTTTTGTGCATTTATTCCTAGATATTTTGTTCTTTTGTTGCCTTGGTTAATGTGGTTGATTCCTTAATTTCTCTTTTGGATTTTTGTTGCTAATGTATAGGAATTCAAGGGATTTCTGTATGTTGATTTTGTATCCTGCAACCTTACTAAACTCACTGATTAACTCTAGTCATTTTCTGATAGTATTTTTTAGGTTTTTTTTTTTTTTTTTTTATAGTATCATGCTGTCTCCAATGAAAGTTTTACTTCTTCTTTTCCAATCTGGATCCCTTTTCTTTCTTATCCTTCTCTATTGCCAATTGAATGTAATTCCAGTTTTTACCTTTTCATCATGGCTGTGAAATAAGAACAATCATATGAAACATTTCCAAATGAAAAACAAGGTAAAAATTTCTTCAAGAGAAAAACAATTACAGTTACCTCAGAAAGTTGTTTAAGAAAAGCTATTATGAACCTAGATAGTGTATTAAAAAGCAGAGACATCACTTTGCAAACAAAGATCCATATAGTGAAAGCTGTTTTTTTCAGTGGTTATGTATGAGTGTGAGAGTTGGACCATAAAGAAAGTTGAGCACCCAAGAATTGATGCTTTTAGACTGTGCTGCTAGAGAAGACTCAAGTGTCCTTTGGACTACAAGATCAAACCAGTCAATCCTACAGGAAATCAACCCTGAATATTCATTGGAAGGACTGATACTGAAGTTGAAGTGCCAAAATTTTGGCCACCTGATTCAGAGAGCAAATCGACTGGAAAAGACCATCATGATGGGAAAAATTGAGGGCAGGAGGATAAGGGGGCAACAGAGGATGAGATGGTTGGATGGCATCACCAGATCATGGACATGAGTTTGAGCAAACTCAGGAAGATAGTGAAGGACAGGGAAACCTGGTGTGCTGCAGTCCATGGGAACACAGAATCAGACATGAATGAGTGACTGAACAATGACATAAAGTTGTTGGAAAGATTCAATCAGCCAACATAAAGAGAATGATTAGAATAGGTCTGGAATATAGTAATTGCTGACAAAAATTAATCTCAACCCTCCCTTTCTCTTTCTCCTCATTATCATAATAGTATTATTAATAGTAAAAAGAGTTCAATGTACTTGAATTTCTAATCTTTTAAAAATATTTGAATAGATATTTATATAGTATTTCCAGCACTCTAGTGATTGCCATTGTTTGATTTCCTGAAAATTCCAAATAGAATAAAATTTCCTAATAATGCCATTTCTATTACCTGTTAAAATGAAAATTTCAGAAATCCACATCAACCCTCACACGCTTTTCATCAAACTAAATGGCCTGTGCATCTTTAAAAATAAAGTTTCTACTCAAAATTGTAACATTTACCTGTATTTTTTACTTCATTCAAGTATATTTGAATTAAAAAATTACAGAATATTCTGAAATAATAGTCAGTTTTAACCAGTTTATTGGGTTGAGTGTGGGTAAAATTTGAATATGAAAATAAATGAAAAGGAATCACACAACTGTACTGAAAGAGTTTTTGACAGATTATGAGTAATAGAAAGTATTAACAAGAACTTTATTCTTCTAATGATATAATCACTTGCGTTTACTGGAGAAAAAGATGACCTTTTGGATGGTCTTCTTGAAAGCTGGCTTCACTTGCTGGTTCCTCAATGAATATATAAATGGATTCATCATAGGAGCAACAGAAGTATTCATAATAGCAACTCCTTTGTTCAAGGATGCCTTTTCTTTTGCTGAAGGGTTAGCATACATGAATATACAGCTTCCATAAGAGATGGAAATGACAATCATGTGAGAGGAACATGTAGAAAATGCCTTTTTTCTCTGACTGGCAGAAGGTAGTCTCAGAATTGTCTTGATGATGAACATGTAGGATAGAATTATTAATGCCAAAGTAAAAAAGCAGAATCACTATTGCAGAGTAAAACCCAATCACTTCAAGGAGCCATGTGTCTGAGCAGGATAGTTGCAAGAGGGGGAAATAGTCACAAGCAAAGTGATCAATGATGTTAGAACCACAGTAATCTAACTGGAGAAAAAGAATAACAGGTGGGAAAATGTTTAAGAACCCTGCCAGCCAAGCACAAAAGACAAGCAATACACAGACTGTTGTTCATGATGGTTGTGTAATGCAGGGGTTTGCAGATAGCTACATAGCGATCATAGGACATGGCAGTTAGAAGATAAAATTCAGTGATACCCAAGAAGATGAAGAAAAACAGCTGAGCTGTACAATCACTGTATGAAATCATTTTGTCTCTGGCAATAATTGTGCCCAGAAATCTAGGAATACAGACCATTGTAAAGGAAATTTCTAATATGGAGAATTTCCTGAGGAAAAAATACATAGGTGTCTGTAGATGGGAGTCCACCAAGGTGAGAATGATGATGGTCAAATTTCCCGTGACACTTAATATATATGTGATGATTAAGAAGAGAAAAGTCTGAAGCTCTGGATCATCTGATAGCCCCAGAAGAATGAATTCTGTGGGTCTTGTGTAGTTTTTCATTGCTGATCCTTTGCCCCCATTCAAACAGAAAATGGATGTGTTTCCTATAAGAAATAAAAGATCAAAATACATTTGAGCATAGAATACAAAGCTTTTAAAGTATCCTTCATGATGATAATGAATGAAATTTAAAACCATGTTCACCTACAGAACTCTCTCCAATTTCCATTCAACTTTTCATTCTAGTAAGGGATATTATCTGAAGTTCAATATTATTTATTCTTCAAAAATACATTGTCATAGACTATGGATAAAATAAAACTCATATGATAACACTTATATAAGGCTTTTCTCTCTAATAGTTTTTAGTTGCTTCAAATGATTCTTCTGCTTTCCTCAGTATTATAAAAACCAGTATAGTTTGCATTTTAATCTAAATAGAGAGTTTGAAAGTGTACACACTTTATGTATGCCTTCTTCCACATTTTATATTCTGCATAACTGAGGCCCACTTTGTTTAGGTGACTTTCACTAGTTTAAACTACTAGTCAACATACTAAAACTGTGGAAAATTCTTAAAAAGATGGGAATACCAGACAATCTAACCTGCCTCCTGAGAATTGTATATGTAGGACAAGAAGCAAAGTAAGGACTAGACATGGAACAATGGACTGTTTCAAAACTGGGAAAGGAATACTTCAAGGCTGTATATCATCACCCTGCTGGTTAATGTGTGTGTGGTTTAGTCGCTCAGTCATGTCTGACTCTTTGCGACCACATGGATTGTAGCCCACAAGGCGTCTCTGTCCACAGGATTCTCCAGGCAAGAATACTGGAGTGGGTTGCCATTTTCTTCTCCAGAGGATCCAGAGGATCTTCCTAACCCAGGATCGAACCTGCATCTCCAGCATTGCGGACAGACTTTACCATCTGAGCCAGCAGGGAAGATTATCACCCTGCTTATTTAACTTATATGCAGAATGCATCATGTGAAATGCCAGGCTGGATGAAACACAGGCTGGAATAAAGATTGCTGGGAGAAATATCGATTGCCTCAGTTATGCAGATAATACCACATTAATGGCAGAAAGTGAAGAGGAGTAAATAGTCTCTTGATGAAGGTCAAAGAGGGCAGTGAAAAACCTGGCTTAAAACTCAGCATCAAAAAACTAAGATCCCGGCATCTGGTCCCATCACTTCTTGGCAAGTAGAAGGGGAAAAAATTGAAACAATGGCATATTTTCTTTTCTTGGGTTCTAAAATCATTGCAGATGGTAACTGCAGCCATGAGATTATAAAGGTTCTTGCTTCTTATAAGAAAAGCTATTATGAACCTAGACAGTGTATTAAAAAGCAGAAACATCACTTTGCCAGCAAAGGTCCAAGCAGTCAAAGCTGTGGTTTTCCAGTAGTCATGTACGGATGTGAGAGTTGGACCATAAAGAAGACTTAGAGCCAAAGAATCGATATCTTTGAACTGTGGTGCTAGAGAAGACTCATGAGTCCCTTGGATAGCAAGGAGATGAAACCAGTCAATCCCAAAGGAAATCAACCCTGAATATTCACTGGAAAGACTGATGCTGAAACTGAAGCTCCAATAATTTGGCCACCTGATGGGAAGAGCTGACTCACTTTAAAAGACCCTGATTCAGGGAAAGATTGAGGGCTGAGGAGAAGGCGAAAACAGAAGATGAGCTACCTTCATGGCATCATCGACTCAGTGGACATGAGTTTGAGCAAACTCCGTGAGACAGTAAAGAACAGCGAAGACTGGCATGCTGCAGTTCATGGGTCACAAAGAGTCAGACACCACTAACCACCTGAGCAACAACCACACAACTTAGTAATATCTCACTTCAGAATATGGGTGTTTACCCATGGGGATATTTTGTTGGTACTCTGTCCCAAATTACCTTTTTAAGGCTTTGGTTGATGCAATCCCTTCTTCCTTTCCTTATAATAAACTAAGAGCACAGAAAGGGTAACTTCTGCTACCAAAAGAAATAATTACCTGGACACAGTTTATTTCATACAATGCACACTTGTTTTCTTTTGCTTTACAATTTTACTTTATCAAACGAATAAGTAGATGGTCAAAACCTTTACTGGGAAGCAGATATTCCTTTAAATAGGGGATTTCATTTTTATAGTTTTATTCCTATAAAAGAAAACTTTTCAACTTAAGAAAAATTAATGAACAACTCAAAAGTTATTGCTATGCTGCTTCTTTAGGACTCCATGAATAGTTTTCTTGTTAGTAAACCACCATTTACTCTTTAATAACAAAAATTTCCTAAATTCACAAACCCATATGCAAATAGTACTTTAAAACACATAATTGAGATATAATAATATGCATTAACTTGAATAATAACAAATTTTACTTACTTCCCTGTTTTTCTTGATGGTTTAGTTTCAAAGTTTATGGTCTGATCACTTCAATGCTTATATCATTTCAGAGTTGATGAAGTGAGTTAGCAATTTATCTGGTTTCTATAGTACTCTGAAAACAAATATGGTGAGTTAACTCTGCAATGGCTCTCAAGGATTATATTCTCACTGTGGTTCAACTGGTAATATTTGACCACAACAGCCTTCATTCCTGATTCTGCAAGATTTGGGGCACATTTCACTATACCGCAACTCATAATTGCTATTTGTCTCTTACACAAGCTCTGTATAAAAGGTGGGAGGGGGGTTCAGGATGGGGAACACATGTAAATCCATGGCTGATTAGTATCAATGTATGGCAAAAACCACTACAATACTGTAAAGTAATTAGCCTCCAACTAATATAAATAAATGAAAAAAAAAAGTAAAAAGAAAAAGAAAAATCAGAATAGATTGAACAGTCAATAAAGGACTTTCTTGCAAAAAAAAAAAAAAAAACTCAGTTGCACTGGGTAGGTTAGTAAAACACTTCTTATATTTGCCCGTTTTCATAGAATTAAAACACTTCTTATTAAAAATTTCTTTGTATTAATGCACAGATTTTAAATGATTATTTTCTAATTCTGTGATTCTATATCCATGCAATTTGAGTAATATTTTTCTTAGATTTCAGAGACTATTATATTTTCCTACAAATGCTGCTTTGAGAAAAAGAGATTTAGAAATTTCTTCTCCATGTAAGTTATACACACAGAATTGGATTTATCTTGTCTTTCTTGTTTTCTCACGGGATTGTGTTAAGTAAACAGAGGGCAGATGAGGCATTATTAAAAGACACAGGTGAATCGGTTTTGTAAGTATGAATAAGAAAATGTTTGGGTTTCCCTGGTGGTTCAGTGGTAAAGAATCCACTTGCCAATGCTGGAGACACAGGTTCGATCCCTGATGTGGGAAGGTCCCACGTGCCACGGAGCAACTAAGGCAGTGTGCCACAAGTATTGAGCCTGTGCTCTAGAGCCTGGAAACCACAATTTCTGAGCCCACATGCTGCAACTACTGAAGCCCCTGCCACCTGCAGCCCTGCTGCACGTGAAGAGACGCCACCGCAGTGAGAATCTCACACAACATAAGTAGAGAGTAGCCCCCACCTGTCTCAACTAGAGAAAGCTGGTGCAGCCAAAAATAAATGAATAAGTAAAATTATTTTAAAAAAGAAAGTGTCAAAAACCAAAATGACTGAGGTAAATGAGGCATCTTCATAAACAACACATGATATTGAGTCAGCAAAATTTTGATTTAGATTTGACTCTTTATTATTGTATTTAAAGAATCCACACTTTTCCCCCAGAAATTCTGGACTTTTCCTCAGGATAGTTACTGTGATTATTTCCCTTGAATTTTGACTTTGCATCATGGAAATTGGCAAACATGACAAAACAGTGCCTCACCTTCACCCCTGAGAGACAGTTGTTAAACATTCACTATTCTCTTATTTAGAAGATGTCAGTCATGTGGTGGATACTCAATACATAATTCTGAGTGAATAAATACATTCAAATTATTTTGGTGTATAATCAATCTCCAGTACTCAATAAAATCTTTAAAACTGTTAAAGAATTTGAGAAACAAAATATGAAAAGAATCACTATTTTGATACAAAAATGTTAGTCACTCAGTCGTGTCTGACTCTTTGAGACCCCACAGACTGTAGACCCCACCAGGCTCCTCTGTCCATGGAATTCTCCAGGCAAGAATCCTGGAGTGGGTTGCCAGTCCCTTCAAATATAAAGGCAAATCTCTCATCGTGGCAGATTTCAAGCTACCAGTGCACTGGTGGGTCCTGTGATGTGGTCCAGACAGGCTCCAGCACATCATGGTTGGGAGTGAACCAGTTCATCTACAAAGTGAACAAAGATCACTGCTTTCATGGGGTGAGGGATGTGAGAGAATGTAGACAGTAAGCATGAGTGTAATTAACTAGTAAACTATATAGTATTTCATATGCTAATAATTATTTTGAAAAGGAAGAGAAAACTGGAAGTGGGGAGCTGGTATAATTTTAAATAGTGTCAATGGGGTAAATTTTATTGAGGTGATATTTGGACAGAGATCTGAAGGAGGGATGGGTGCTAACCATGTGATTATCTGGGAGAGGAGACTTTCCATTTTAAGAAGCATTTAGTGTAAATACAGTAAGGTCCTAGAAGGAAAATCACATTACTTGAATGATTTTGGTTGTTTATTTTGTTTTCTCCTTTCTGATATTTTTTAATTTTTGTTGAACTAGTTTCCTCAATAGAATCTCTAGGAGAGTATTGAATAAAAACAGTTATATAGTGGTCCTTCACAGCTTATAACTGATTTTACCAAGACTACAGCTACTATTTAAAACATTAAAAATTATGTTTGCTGTAAACTTTAAATTTTGAATATTTTCAAGTATACACTAGGATAGAGAACTGGAGAAATAGTTTCAAGAGCAGATCAAGCAGATTCAATAAATATAAAGGCTATTTTATATCTCTTTACTTGTTTTTTGAAAAACTTTTAAATATTTTGTTGTATTTTAAACCAGAACTTATACAGGATACTTTTTCTTACCTGTATATTTTCAGGATGAATTCCTAAAATATATACATATATATATTTTGCTTAACCCTGATGCAGTT